TGTAAACTTTATTATGAAAAGATGAATCTTAACTAATTTAGGAACATTGTGATGCTCAATTTGTTAATTTGAGTTTTTGTGAGTAAGATCTATCTTCCTGAAAATTTAGGAGTTTTTGGGTTCTTTAACTTATAGACACTGCATTGAGACAAAAGAAGTTAGTTATTTTTCAATTTTAATAGTACTCTAAGCTAGAATATTTGAATTGTGAAGGTGACTTAGTGACATTGTTTGAATTTCAGGAATTTGGATTACGTAATTATGTATGTGTTGATTTGTGATTATTGTATTGAATGTAAATATATAATTAATTTACATGATATTGAAAAGATAGTCTTTTGTATGAATCTATTATTCTTATATTGAAATTAGTGGATTGATTTACAATATGGAGGATAAGATTTAGAATTAATTTGATTTGAAACATTAGAAAATGGTATTGAGTAGATTATGCAATATGCTATTATAAACGTTTGATATTATCGTAAGAGTTACGCTTAGTCTTAAAGACTCATTTACACCCAACTTGCATCTTTCTAGAAATTCCACAAGATTTCATACGCTATTATGTGTCATTGATTTAAATTCATCTTTCATAACATCTAACCACTTATTAGAATTATCACCATGACTTTTGAAAATGAAACTGGGTCATTATGAATACTTAAGTCATTTTTTGACTTTTATAGATAAAGAACATAATCATTCGAAATAACAAACTTTCTTTTTCTGTGAGATCTTCTTAATATTATTTCTTGTGGTTATTCTACTATCGGCTCATTACATCAGGATCATTAATTTGTTATTATTCTTGATTGACATGTGGTTCTACAACATGTGGAACAATAACTCTTGAAGAAGATGTACTAGTTACATAAACTTGTATTCTAACATCCTTAATTTTTACATTTCGTGAAGTTTCATTCTCACTGGTTTCACCATTATCAATGAACCAAATATTTTTAATTTCAAAAATTCTAGTATTATGGGTAGAACAATAAAACATATTATCTTTTGATTTTTCTGGATAACCAATGAAATATCCACTAATTGCATTTATATCCAATTTCTTTTCTTGCGGATTGTACATTCTTACTTATGTCTAACAACCCCAAATATGCAGGTGTCTCAAACTAGGTTTCCTACTTGTTCATAACTTAAAATGAGTCTTTTGAACAGTTTTACTAGGAACATTATTCAACAAATACATAACAATCTTTAAAGCATACATTCGCAATGATACAGGTAAACATGAATTACTTAATATGCTCTTAACCATATTTATTAAGATTTGATTACGCCTTTCTGACACATCATTTTGTTGTAGTGTGTCTGACATTGTGTATTGAGCACAAATATCATGTTTCTTAAGGAACTTAACAAACGGATCAAGGAGTTGTCCACTTTCATCATATCTTCCATAATACTCACCACATCTATCTGACTTGACAATTTTCACTTTTATGTCTAATTGCATGTCCACTTCAGTTATATAAACATCCAAGACATTCACTGTTTGAGATTTCTCATGCAGAAAATAGACATATCCATAACGCGAGAAATCGTCAATGACGGTAATGAAATACTTCTCTTTATTGAAAAAATTTACATCAAATGGACCACATATATTAGTGTATATGATTTCAAGAAGCTGAGTGTTTCTTGTGGCTCCTTTCTTTATGTGTTTTATTTGTTTGTCTTTAATACAATCCACACATATATTCAAATCAGTAAAGTATAAATCCAAAAGGATTTAATTCTCTCCTAGTCTTTATATTTTTTCTTTGGAAATATGTCTTAAATGCTTATGTCATAAGTAAGCAGATCGTTCATCCATCAAACTATGTTTAGTGCAACATTGTGATGCAAGGTCGTAAGAGTTTTAGTATATAAATTATCCAAATTCAATTTATATAAATGATCATAAAGTATACCAGATATAATCATACAAGTACACTTAAACAAACTGAAACAACCATTTCTAAACTTAAAAGAGTATCCAACAACATCAAGTTTAGACAAAGAAACTAAATTCCTAGTGATACTAAGTACATAAAAAGTATTCATAAGGTCTAAGTGATATCTAGTGTCAAGGATTAAACAATAAGTCTCGACAGCTTCCACTAGAACCTTCACTCTATCCCCCATGAAGACGAACTTCTTTTAGGTTTATGGTTCAGGTTGAAAGGAATCCCTGCATCGCATTATTAGAAACATGATTCCTACATCCAAAATCAATCCACCAAGTATTATGAGGAATTTAAGTTAAGTTTGATTCAAAACATACGTGAGCACTATGCTCACCTTTCTTTTCGAACTAAGCTTTACGCCTTAAGCAATCCTTTTGTAATGTCTAGATTTCCCGCATAAATGACATTTTTCATTTTTCTTCTGAATTTTTGTAAAGGATTTATTAATCTTTAATGGTAATTTTTCTTTCCATGTTTCTTAATAACTTTCTTTTTAGCTCCTTGATTTTTCATATAATGAACAAAGTGGCTTCTTAGGTTCTTAAGTCTAGTCTCCTCCTAGACTAACATACTGTGTAATTCATGTGCATTCTATTTGTCTTTCATGATATTATAGTTCATATGGAACGAACCATACTCAGACAGTAACAAGTTCAAAATAAATTGTACAAGAAAATTTTCTTCTACTGTCATTCCAAGAGACTTGAGTTTTGCTGCGATATTTGTCATCTCGATTACGTATTCGTGCATACAACGAGAACCATTAAACTTCATGGTAGTCAACATACTCATCAACGTCTCAGCAAAGAATTTGTCAATAATTTGAGAACACTCTTTCACAAATTTCGTAAACTCTTTTGCATCCTCAGTTTTAGGAAAAACATATTTAATATTGCTTGCTATATTCATTCGCATAAACATAAGACTAAGTCTGTTTGACCTTTCCCAAACTATATAATAAGTTTTCTTTTCATTGTTATTAGCATCAGTGATAATGTCAGTTTTTTAACTTATTAGAAAGTCAAATCAAGATCCAACACACCTAAGTGAAATTGGACTTGTTCACTTCAGTCAGAAAAATTTAACTCATTAAACATTGAAACAGACGAAATGAGTGAATATAAAGATATATGAACAGATATTACAATTAACATATGTCTAACATTAATGTTTTGAGTCATAAAAACTAAATATAAATACATATTCAAATATAAATAACCATTATATACACATTAATGTTTGAGATCTCTTAATACACAAACATAATGATGTTAATCTTATTATAACATTAATGATAATTAAAATATACACCAATTATAATCACCTACTACCTTTGGATATATAAATAAAACTAGAGACACGTACAAAATTATCTACAATCATACTCATTCATTATAAAAACGATTAATCAACCTTTGAATGATCTAAAAATGTTTTATAACAATTAGTTTCAATTAATTCATAAATCAATTATTCATAATTTATCATTCATATTATGGGTAATTGAAATAAAAATATTAATAATTTAAAATTATATTATTTTAAAATTTTGGTCACTTTAACAAGTAACAAAAATTATTATGGTTGATGTAAAATAAATAACGTCTTTAATTGTTATTAATCATAAATAACATTTTCCTTAATTTTAAATAAAACATATATTATTCAAGTAATAAAATATCATGTACCATAAATAAAATTAAAACCTATAATTTTAATTTAGATTGTAGGATTAATTTTGAATCCAATAACTTTATTTACATTTTACATAAAAGTAAAATTATCCCATTCAAAAAATTTTACACAATTAAAATATAGAGAAACAATTCAATTAAATTCCCAAAATAAAATTTCCAATTAATGCATTTATACCCTGTACATCCTTTCTTTCAAATTGTACCTTCACAAAACAGTGAGATTTGATTTTCCTTCGATGAATTCAATGAAAGGAATTTAAAATCGCGTAATGAGAAAATTACTTTTCCAACTGCGGTTATACACGTCGCAATAGTGATTTACGCGTGCACTTTTCAATTAAACTTTGATTTGAAGACAAGATTACAGCAGTGAACACACGAAAAAAAAAACAAAAACAAATTTACCAATCCTTCAATTTTACAAAAACAAGCGGAAGTAAAATATAAAAACTCCTTCCATTCATAATTAAAATTTATTTTAATTGAAGAAAATATAATTTGCGAAAAACTATTATAAGAAAAGAAAATCATAAATATGATAACATAGCTCTAATAATACGTATAAATTAATTTGTAAATTTTATGATTCATAATTCTCACTTAGTAACATACATAAATAATAATAAGAAAATTAATTTTATCTATAAGAAAAATCAAACAAAAATACATAATTTAATTTTTGTGTTTTCTAATCTTTTTTACTCAATCTATTTTTTTATTTTTTTCTTCTTTTCCTATTATTTTAACTTTTAGTGTGAAAAGAACTTTATATTAAAAAACAGAATTCTAATTCTTTTTTATTAATGAATGTTACTCAAAATAATTATCATAAAATTTTTATTTTATTTTATTTTTATTTTTATTATGACTTCTCATAATAATTATAATCTTTATATTTTATTAAATTATATTTATACCTATCCTAATATTTTATGAGTCACATACAATTTATTTATTAATTAATTCTAACAGTTTTATCTCACATTTTTATTTTACAGTTTACCTAATGTATTTTCTAGATTGCTTTTAACTTGTATCTAAATGAAAACAAATTTTAAGAGGATAGAACTCAATAAAAATGAGTCTTAAGACTATAGATTTATATTTATTTATTTTTGAGATAATAAATGTGTACGTATATATTTAGAAAAAATTATATTTTAAATTATTACATGTGTTTTAATTATACATGGTTTCAATTTTCTCGGAAACCAAACAGAACAAATAAAAAAGGAAAACCAATGCCTCGGAACTAAATCATGACATCGAAGATGAAGAACCTCTCGCGAGAGCGATATCACCGGACACTCGCCGGCGGACTCATTTTCCGACAATGGCGAATCGAATTGAGTTCAGATCGGAAATTGAAAAAGAGAAAAACGGAAATCGAAAAATCGCAAAGTGGAAGCAAGCAATCAGAAGAGGAAGAGAGGTTTTGCTGAAACGAAACCAAAAACAACCCGAAATTGCTATAGACACTCACCCGAAAGTGTTTAAGCGCTAGGAGCAACCTCGGTCACTATAATTTCGTGTGGATTTAACTTTTTCTTCCGAAAATTAACAACTGGTTATTGTTATTTTTGAGACGGAGAAGCTTCGGCTTATGGGAAAGCGACAAGTGGCGGTAAACTACTGGTTCTTGGTGCTGATGCTTACCTTTGCACTTTTCCTTATTTTTTTCAGTTTCTTTTTTTATTTACTTCTACGGGATGCGGCTTTTAATCTTTTTTTCGTAGCTCGAATCTCATCCACAAACTTCTTCATGGCTGAGGTTTTAGGTCCGTAAAATCGTTTAGATCTGTTTAAAAACTAATTTTCAGATTATTACAATTTCAATACATTCCAAAAAAGTTGACTTTGAAGAAGCATTTTGCCCTTTAGTAATGTTTAATAATGAGTTGTGAAGATAGTCATGTCTGCTTCTATAAATTTAAGTAAAAAAAATTATTGTAGTAATTTGACTTATAAAATGAGTAAAATTTTTTAATCTGATTTAACTTTATTTTAGACAACAGATTAACGAGTTAATTTTGATTTGATTAAATTTAAAAATATATTCACATTTTTTATAAAATTAATTAATTAAAAAATATTTAAATAAAAATTAAAAATAAAAATTTTATTAAAAAATATAAATTTTATTTAAAATATAATAATTTAATAAATAAATTATAAGAAAATATATCTATTTAATATTAAAATTAAAATTAAAAATTTACTTATTATTATTATTATTTATTTCTAATAATTTATTAATTTAAAATAATAATTAATTTTAATTATTAAATCTTGAAACAAGTAATTATTAAATATTTATTTTTAGAATAAATAAATATTTGTTAAATTAATTTATAATATATATATATAATAAAATAATATTATTTTTATTTAAAAATAATTATTATTTTATAAAATAAATTAGTCTATAAATTTATGTTTTAATCTACCTTAAACTATATAGACAATAATATAAATAAATTGGACAAATACCTGGATGACTGATATGTGTATGTTTGCTTTATAGCTCCACAAAATTGTCTGCATGTTGTTACATATAAATATAGAATTAAGAATAACACACAGATTATTACTTTATTATAATTTGATTGTATCAATGTGGTTAACGTGGTATACAATTAAAAACTATCCAACCCAAGAGATTCGTATCTTTTGTACCATAAACTCTTTTTGAAGTTCAGCATTAACACTATAATTAATGCATGGAATGAACACTTAAAGTGTAATACAGGTATGCAACCATGTGGAACACTTAAGTGTCTACAACACATGCAGCACAAAACTATATATATAAAAAAAAAAATATTATAATAAGTTAAAGTTAGAGTTTAAGGTTTAGAGTAAAAAATGTTTAGGTTTATTAGCATCAATTTAACCCTTTAAATGTAACAAAAAAAATATATATATATAGTTTAGCAAAATCAATTGTTTAAATAAATTTTATATGAAATGTACTGAAGATTTTAAATTTATAAAAAAATTAAAACATTATATGTTATGTGAAAATTAATTAATGATTTTTAACTGCAAAATTGTCTTAACAAAATATAGGATTATGTGGAAAGAAAAAAAATTAATGAAAAAGACGCTAAAAACATTATGTATGGACAACACAAAACGGTGTTCATGTTATAGTATTCCAATAATAAAACATTATGTATCTAATTCTTATAAGATATTCCTATAATATAAACATCCTATAGAAATGCAAAATATAAAACATATTAATAGAATATCTAAAATAAAATATTTAGATATTTCTTATACTTTAAAGATATTATAATAATAAAATAAAACAATTTGACTTATTTTTCATAATTCAAAATTAATATTCCTTATGAGATATTATTTTAAATTTTCTTTCTTCTTTGGTGAGATTTTTTTAATTATCTATTGAATTAATTATTTTTTACTAAAATAGCTTTAATTATTTTAGTTAATAAATAGTAAATGTTATGATTTTTTTCTTATCTTATTTGGATTGATAAATGAAAAAAATGTTTTAAAATTATAATGTACTATAATTATTTTCTCTCCATACATTATTTAAACTATAGAAAAAGAATGATAAAATATAGGAAAAAGTAGAGTAATATATTAAGATAAATTTTTGCTATACTCGATAAATAATGTTAATCTCAACCACAAGTTTTACTTATTATCTATGTTTTAAAAATTAGAACACACCAATCAATTGATCTAATTAAAAACTGATTTAAAAAGTGATTTTATTATTTTTAAATAAATAAATTTTAATTGAATTGATATAAAATAAGAAAATATTGTACAATTCAATAAAATTGGGAAACTGATTAAATTTTTTATCAAACCAATTTTATTAGAAAAAATTTAAAGATGAAAACTTTTTAATTTTTTAAAATATATATTTTAAAAGATATAATATATTATGATTTTTTTTTCATTAATTTTATATTAATCATATCAATTTTAAATAATATTTATTTTATTATATTTTAACATTAATTTTAAATAATATTTATTTTATTATGTTTTCATTTTAATTTCATGATTAGTATTCTTTTATTTTTTTATTTTTATGAACTTACTTATTATTTATAACAACTTACATTTATTACTTACTGTTATAATTGTTTTTTATAAAAAAAATTATTATTAATGGATTTATTATATTATTATGTTTTAAAAATGACTATTTTATTAAATTAGACCATAAATCTTAAATTTTAAATGTGAGGACTCATATTAAGTGAGTTAAAAATAAAAGTGATATAATGAGAATAACTTTGAAGTTTTACCATTTAAGCTAAAAAAAAATTATAATATAGAAAAATTTAAACACACAAATTTTATTCTCACATAATCACCATCTTTACAATTCTCTTTTATTTGCCTTCTCTCTAAATCTCTCCCTCCATCTCTTATTATTTTCTAGATTCAAGCACACCTTACTACTTTTAAAGGAGAGTATATAATTTTTATCTGATTATAATTTTAAATAGAGTAAGTTTTTCATTCTTAAATTTAGACAACTTTGCATATTTTAGGTTTATGTCTACATGTGGGTCCTAAGAGGCTTGCATGTAGACTTTGTTGTGAAAAGATAAATCTTGACTAGTTTAGGAGTATTGTAATATGTACAATTTGTTAATTTGAATTTTTGTGAGCATGATCTATCTTCTTAAAAATTAAGAGTTTTTTTGGTTCTTTAACTTAGAGGCATTATATTGAGGTAAAAAAAGTTAGTTATTTTATAATTTTCATAGTATTATAGGCTAGAAGATCTGGATTGTGAAGGTGACTTGGTTACATTGTTTGAGTTTTAGGAATTTAGGTTGTGTGATTACATATACATTGACTTGTGATGATTGTATTGAATGTGAATGTATAATTGATTTATATGAGATTGAAAAAGATAGTCTTTTGTATGAATATATTATTCTTAGATTAAACTTAGTGGATTGATTTACAAAATGAGGATAAAGTTTAGAATTAATTTGATTTAAAATTTTAGAAACAGATTATTGAGTAGATTATGTAGTCTACTATTGTCACGAATTCACCTAGTAGATTTAAATTCGTTCAATAAATTTAAGATAGTGTTGAAAGCGTTTGAAATTAGCTTGGCGTTTTCAAATTCGCTTAGCACTTTCAGATTTATTCAGCATTTTTCGAATTAGAAACAGATATTGTTTAATTTTAAAATACATCATGATTTAAATAAGTTGAACAAAAATAAACTTTATTCAATTTAGAGCATAAATTTTTTTATTTAATTCTCACCTATTTCTCGAATAGTTTAAACTGATATATTGAATTAAACTTATTTTAATACACCTACTCTTATGTAATCATAAAAAATAATGATAATATATATATATATATATATATATATATATATATATATAATATTGAGTTATCAGTTATCAATAATAACAATTTTAATGTGTATATATCTAAATTCTCACGTTGATTTATTAAATAATAAAAATATTCTTTATAACATATTAATATAGTTAATTTACGTTATTATCAACATTAAATAAATATAATTTACTATTTAAAATACTTCATAAATATTTATAAGTAATATTTATTATTTTAAAAAAATACTTATTATTATTATTATTATTATTATTATTGTTTTATATACTGATTTAAGTCTCAGATTATTTTTGTAAGTGAATTTTTTTTTTCAAATATTTAGCAGACTCAATTATGTTCTACCCAATATATATATATATATATATATATATATATATATATATATATATATATATATATATATATTTCTCTAATTTTATTTAAATTTTGATTGCAATTTTTTTTTGTGAATGTCTTTAGTGTTTGTGTTTTTCATTAATAAGGTCAAACATGTTTTGGCTCAATATAATTGGAGTTAGGTTCTTTTTTATACTTAATAAAATTGGTGTGATAAAATATCGATTTAGAAATTAGTTTGGTGAATTAAAATATATTTATTATTGTTTACATATATCCAAAAATCTTGATTTTTTTTTATCAAATGAATGTAAATTTTTTTCAAATTTATTAAAATAGGTAAATTTTAAAGAATTTACGGAATTGAGTAGGTCGTGTCAACAAATACCACTTTACATGAATAAGTCATATTTTATAAATGAAAAAGTGGGTTAGGTAGTACAAATTCTAATTTTATATTATAATAATTATTATAATTAATAATAATATATTTTATATTATTAATATAATAAATTAAATAATAGTGATAACAATTTAATTTATATTATTATTAAAATTATTATTTATTTTATTATTTAAATTAATATTCCATTATTATTAATAATAAAATAAAAATAATATTATTAAAAGTAATATAATTATAATAACTAATATTATTTCAATTTTATTACTAATAATAAAATAAATTAATAATTAGAATTATATAAAATAAAAATAATATTAGAAATAAAATAATTATTTTAATAATTATAATTCTATTACTTATTTATATATTTGTTATTATTATACTATAATTTAATAAAATTATAGTTTTATGAATAATTATTTATTATTAATATTATTTTATTATTATTATTATTAAAAGAATAATAATAATAAACTTATATTTATTAATATAATTATCTTATTTATTATTT